CCCTACCTTGGCAATTTCACAAACTCGTGCTGCACCAAAGGTCATTTCCACTAATACTGGCTTTGTCCCCAAAACCTCTCAGTACAAAGTTCTGTTGTAGCTTTGTGATCGCAGTAAATACGCACATTCATTTAATATGCCTTTTGAAAGGAGAAGTAATACATATATGTAAGTTTCATACTTAGAGAAAAGTGGAAAGAAAATATATCAACCCTCAACTTTCCATTGTCCTTAGGTAGTCTACACCTGAAAATGATTTGCAACTCAGCAGCCATGGGAGGCCTTTGTCTTTCATAGGAATAAATATTAGAGTAGAGACATTCTTTGCAGGTAATATTATAAACATTCCTACACTAGTATTTTACATACTGTGAAGTGACACCATACTGTCAAACCAGACTTGTTATTTGTGTTTGAAAAACAAAGGTGTAAATTTGTATTTTCTTTTTAAAAGAAACAAACAAGCAAAAAGTCAATTTTATGCAAGAGATGGCCTGTGTGTTTAAACTAGTACTATTCTTGTTAAACCACAATTCAGATCTTGCAGTTCTTACTCAGGAATTGTGCTTGCAAGAGCAGTTCTTCCATTTCAATAACTTCATTGTGAGTATCTTGATCCTGAGTGCCTTTAACTGTGCCTCTACATCCTAATTATTGTTTTGTGCTTTGGAGACATTTCCACAAGTGTATAACAGGAAGGAAATCAGGTTTTTCTTTTGCTGTCTGCATGCCAACATGCAGCTAATAAAAAAGGAAGAGGAAATGAGTAACATATAAATGGGGAAATTTTTCCCTCTGAAAACATAAGGGATACAGAAAGACAACGCTGATGTGCTTGTAATTTTGTGACTACACAGTGCTGAAGAGTATGTTAATTATTTTCGTGGGTCTTGTAAGTTTTACCATGCAGACAAAGAGATGCCTTTGGTTCCTCCAAAGCCATCTTCTGTGTTAAATATCTACATGGTCTTTGCTGCTGTAGAGTGTGAACCCCTCACATTTGCCCATGCTGTGCAGGGCAATTCCTGTTCTGAGGCTGAGGAGGAGAGGTAGAGAAAAAAATCAGATCCGGATGCCAACATGTGCTTCAGTGCCCATTAGAGGAATCTATAGTGTACAGAATGTACAGAATGAAAGGAGGATTTTCCACGTTCTCCATACACACACACATACACTGTATTCTCTGTTTCTGCGTTACATATTAAAGGTGTATTATTTGCTCAGTGAACTCAGCAGAGAACTCAACAGGCCACAGAAAAGTTTTTATTTTATGCCAGTGATATTCCATTAACTTCAATAGTCACAGGCTGCTGAAAACCAGCATTCCCTCTAATAATGATGGACCCTCATTTTGCTGTCCCTCCAAACAGTCCTTTTACAAAGCATATTAGATTCAAGACAAACCTATGCTTCCAAATCTTTTCTACATATGGGCATTCAGGAAAATGAATTCATTCCAATCACTAAGAGACACAACTTTGAAGAAGTTACTTATGCTGCCTTAAAGCCCTGCGTGATTGCAGAGTTAGTGTTCATTTGATTTAGGTTGTTTTAAAAGCAATCTCTATTGAAATAGCTGTAGTTGGATCCATCCATTTCTACAGTTTATTCATATTAATTTTCCCACTGCGTCCTGTCAAGTCTGAAGTCACCTTTTTAGATGTGCAAGTCTTTCCATCTGAAATCAGTGGATACACAGCATAATTTAACTGAGAACTAACTGTGTCTGTGACAATGTTTCACTGCTTCACCCTTCTTGTAGTGACTGATCTGCAGTCAAATACACATCATGTGGAACCAGGATGTATTTACTAAACATGTTCTGTGTTGCAGGTGGTTCAGGAAGTCCAGAAGAAAGGACTTTTAAGACGACCAATAGATTTAATGTTAGCTGCATACCTCATTCTAGCAACGGGGTTTTGCATATTTAGGGGCATGGTAAGTTGAAGATATTTTAATATTCTGTCCTCTAATTTTAGTCAAACTTGAAAACTTAAGATCCTTGTGAAAAAGTCTGTTCATTTTGGTCCAGGGAGACCTTGTGACTTTCAGGGTTGGAATAGGCCTTAGATATAAAAAGGACTAATTGTTTATTTGTGCTGGTTACTGGTGCTTTGCTTCTCCATTTTGCCCTGTGTAAAGTATGGTTTTCAAAAGGAGGTGCAAATCACAAGAGTAAACAGCATCCCAAGTGCAGATCAACAGACCTAAAACTGTTTTCATTCTGGTATTACATTTATGGCCAAGAACACAGAGAAAAAAACAACTAAGTCTGGTTTCATGTTTTTCTAAACAGAGATGCAATTGTTAACATTATAAAGGAAACCAAATTAATTTACACTGCATTAGATAGAGAACAGAACATTTCCACATGAAAAAAAATTATCCATATTACACAAACAACACATGTTCTACTTGTTTCTACTTACCAAGAACGTACTTTTTAAGAAATGTTTGCTTTTTAAGCACAGCTGATTGAACTGAAGTTTCTGAGGGAATGAAAGTACTGAAAATGCATCAAGTAGAAAAATGCAGTAGCAGGTAAATCTAGTCCTTTGTCAGCTCTAAAGCATGTTCTGTCTTAAGGAGAAGGGAAGTTGTGTATCATTCAGTGATCAGAGATCAAATGTTTAGGTGTCTTAGACAACCACCTACTTGCTTGATTTGTAGATCTGATCCTGTCTAGAACAATTCAAGTACCCAAGCAACATTTTATTTACCAGCACAGGTTGTCCTTTTGTAGTTCTGCCGCTCACATACTTGGTCATCTTCAGCTGTTTCACTAAAAACTTGCCTCTCTTTTTTTCCCTTCTAACTTGTCACAGACTGCTTTATTTCTTCTTATAGATGATGCTTAAGAGCAGCACTGATGCAGGTTAATAATCTATTTTACCTGTAATTTTGTTGTGGGAAATGTTAATTCAAGCTCTAACATCTCATTTGGTTCTACAATCCCACTGCTGCTTTTCTCAGAGGAATATTTTTTTGCTGATTTTGAGTGTGGTCATTTCCTTAGATATTCATTTGCCAAACAGGAACTGCTTACTGGCCTTCCTTATACATACAGAGGTCAGCTGAACATCTCTGTGTAAGCTACAGTAATCATGAGTTTGTGAAAAAGTGAATAAAATCTAATGCATTATAGTCCACTCAGAGCTGATTGTCGGAAGCCCATATTGGAAAAGAACAGGGATGAGTGTCCACTGTTTGTACATCTTCACATTCCCCCTCCAAGTCACATAACAAATACATATAAAACTAAGTTGTGCAAAACTTACTGTTCAGTCCTGTAATCTAAGCATTAATGATGACTTGCCATAAAACAGTGACAGCTGTTGACACAGATTGATAACTCATCTTACAATAGTATTTTTTGTAGTAGTTTTAAGGTCTGCCATGAAAAGGAACTACTTTTGCAGCTGTGTCTGTTCATATTTATTGGGAACTTGTTCTTTCTACACGAATGTAAAATCCAACAACCTCTCTTTTGCCACTCTCCTTTAAAAATTATTAAGTAGAACTGTCTCGCTGCATTGCTCTCCACTACTACCATGCCACAGTGCAACTTTCCTCTTGGACTGCATTTACAGCTTGCTATTCTAAATTGGGTGCTTAACCTGAAGTTTCCATTGTTTGAGCAATTTTCCATTGGAAAGTTGATTTGCTGGGATCAAAGTCTGTTTATGAGAGCAAATCAATAGCAATTAGACTTCTACTACAGCTTAGCCAACAGACTGAACTCTTTTCCAGTCAAAATCTTTGAAGCTGGCTGCCAGCATTTCCTCATAAACCCTCTGAGCAGGAGCTGAGAGGAGGCTGCATTTCAGCTTTTAATTGGTGATCAAATGGGTCACGAGTGCAATAGACTCTGAGCAAGCCTCTGGGGTAGCAGTGCTGCAGATCACTAGTGAATCTTCAGGGCTGTGGTTCAGAACATGTTCTTTGTTCACGGGAAGTCTTACAAATTCTCCTTAGATTGCTCTGGATTGCCCTGCTGACCTCTGCCGGCTATACATTCAACTTCACGAGCCCTATATAAAAGATCCTGCCGCCTATCCTAAGCTTCAGGTAAAGCATTGCAGAGCATAGAGTATTAAGAAGTGATTTGTTGACTGGTGCAAAGATGAAGCCATGGGTTTCACAGATGACAAGATCAATAAGGGAAGTATTCGTTCATGGCAAGTTAAGCAGTATTTCATGTTTTCTCATGCAGCTATTACAGGGTACGACTCTTCATTGTGGTAAACAGTGACAGGCTCCTTGAGAAGTGACACTTTTTACAAACCCTGTTGACACAGGCATTGCAGAGGAGGGAATGCTGTGCTTTAGGTTTGCAGTATTTGCAAGGCTGCCATTCCTTTGCAGCCCTGGTTGCTGCAGGAACTAA